AAACGAAACATGAAACTCATCCTGGATTGTCCTGAAAATGACAAACACTGGAGATCTTCTTGGTTCATAATTTATGAAAATTGGGACCTCAACCCAAACGTGATTCCTCCTAAGCCTAACAAGGTCATCCTTTCTCAAGACGCACTTGACAAGATTAGCTCTGCGAAAAAAAGCTGACGAGGTAATCAGAAACGCAAAGTATCTTCTTTCTAAAAAAACGTTAGAACGTTAGATGCCCATTGGCTATGTGATGCGAGAACTTTTTCTCCTTCCCCAACGCAAACTTTTGATCCAAATGTGTCGTTTAATGGTATGCCTGACGCGACCACCTTAGAGGAATCTTTGAGTGGTACCGAGCCCTTGCTTGATCCATCTTGTTCTCTGAATGACATGGAATTATTTTTGAATGATCCTATTTCTGACGTTTGTCAACCTGCTGACCCCGCTATCTTTGACAAAATAGGTGTAACTTTATCAACACTCCCACATGACTTCTTTTTACACCTGTTATACATATTTTTATTATTTATTTTTTATACCTTTTTTTTTATTTACAGATATGGCTAGCAAACGTGATGAACTTCCTTTTGAGCATCGTGGTGATGGCTCGCGCTCACGTGAGCACCACGTGTTTAGACATTTTCCCAAGGACTTGGAATCTCGCTTGGCGTTTAGACCCACGAGGCCCCCTAGCCAATCAACCTTTGATCCTGAGATTTTCAAGGAACAGATGAAGAAGCGAAAGTCCTCCTTTGACATTCCACCTACTGGTCTTAATGTATCGACTTCATTGAATCTTGACTCTCGTGCACCAAACAATCCACTTCCTCCTTCTAGACTAGCAAAAAAGTCTTCATCCACTTCCTCCTTCTAGACTAGCAAAAATACTTCCACTCTAGATGTTGTGACTGATGGGTTAGTCTGCTTGTCCATCCACCCTTGCCACGTTCCAATGTTGAAAAAGATGGAGAAATTTGCGCCTCACGATCATATTGACGGAGCTCAAAAATGAGAAGCCTTCAACTTGGCTAATTCAATCGAGCGCTGGATTACTGAGGTAGATCCCCACCTTTCCTTCATTGAAATTTCCTGAACCCAAATTGGGCTTAGCTTTATCTCTCTCCTTCTTTTTTAATGTTGGGATTTTTCGAGCCCAAATTATGCTTAGACTATTTAACCCTCCTTTTATTTTTTATTTTTTTTAGCTCTTCGCAGATCTTCTTGTGTACAACTCTCGAACAAAAGAAATGTTTGAAGAGGCAAAAGTAATTACACCAAAATTAAAGGAATCTCAGGACAGTCTGAAAGCGACACAAGAGAAATTACTTCAATCTGAGAAATTAGTTACGCTGATAGAGAGCATCTCAGATGGCTGGAAAGCTAACTACAATGCTCTTCTGACCTCTTCTGAAAATGATAGGAAGACTCTAGTGGAGACTAAAGCTGCTCTTGATATGTCTCTAAGGGAACTCGAGCGGGTGAAGATAGATTTAGAGCTCTGCCATGCCAAGTACGAGGCTGATAAAGTTGAGCTTGCTGAAGACGAGTTCTGGAAAGGCTACGAAGAAGCTAAGAAGGCAATCATTTTCTATAACAAAAACCTTAACATTAATCTCTCATTTGATCCTCTTAGTAGTTCTCACGTTGTTCAGACTCCTTCGGCTCCTACACCAAATGACTTCAACCCTGATGATGAGATGATTGAACCTATGAAGGATTTAGAAAAATCACCAAGTAGTGATCCTCCAAGTATCGATCCACCAAGCAACACCTAGAAGCTTTTTTGTTTTTTTTTGTTTTGGCTCTGCACTCTATTCTTCATGCTTGCTCTTGTGTACTTGGGCCCGGTTGGTTGGCACTTTTTTCTATTGAAACTTGTCCTTTTGTTATCTTTCCTGCAACATAATAATTTTTTATTTTTCTTTGCAATTGCTACATTGTATCAATGTAGACTAGCTAATATATATATATATATATATTTGTTTAGAGTTATCCCGTGCCCACCTAGGGTCAGGTGTTTCTTTAGCCAAGTTTCTCCCTCGGCTTAGGATTTTCCCGTGCCCACTTGAGCTGAAGCTCTTTTTATTTTTATTTTTCCATGCTCACTTGGGGTCGGGTTTTTCTGAGCTAAAGCTCTTTTAATTTTTTCGTGCCCACCTGGGGTCGGATTGTTCCCTTTTTCTTTTATTTTCCTGAGCCCACTTAGGGTCAGGTTTTACTGAGCTAAAGCTCTTTGGATTTTCCCGTGTCCACCTGGGGTCGAGTTTTTTTGAGTCGAAGTTCTTTTTTATTTTCCCGTGCCCACTTGGGGTCGAGTTTTTCTGAATCGAAGCTCTTTTTTCATTTTCCCGTGCCCACTTGGGGTCGGGTTTTTCCGAGCTAAAGCTCTTTTTTTTTTTCTTTTTCCTGAGCCGACTTGGGGTTAGGTTTTTTTTTTTTTTTTTTTTTTTTTTTTTTTTTTTTTTTTAACTGATACACTTCTATCCCCCCATTTTCTTTGTCATATTGAACAAAATAAGGAAGAAAATATTAAAAGAAGAAATTAGCAAACACTTCGACTTTATTTAGTAATAATATGTTTCACCTCACAAACTTGGCGTCACATCGAAGTACAAACACATACTAAACTTCAAACTTTTTAACTATTGATAATACTTCCTAAGGTGTTCAACATTCCAAGGGTGAGTCAACACCTTGCCCCATTTATCCTCAAGCTAATATGATCCAGGGCAAACGACCTTGATAACCTTATATGGCCCCTCCCAATTTGGCCTAAGTACACCATCACTTGACTTCTTTGTGCTTTGATTAACTTTCTTAAGAACCAAATCACCTTCCTCGAATTTTCATTCCTTAACCCTTGTGTTGTAGTACCGGGCCGTTGCCTGTTGGTATACAGCTGCACGGATGGTTGCTTGTTCTCTCTTTTCTTCCACAAGATCGAGATCAGTGCAAAGCTCCTCATTATTCTGATCTTTGTCATAGGCTTCGACTCGATATGTGGGCATTCCGACTTCTGCCGGGATCACTGACTCCACTCCATACGCCATAGAAAATGGTGTCTCACCAGTATAGGTCCTACTGGTAGTGCGATAAGCCCATAGCACTAGCGGTAGCTCCTCTACCCATACATTTTTCAAACCCTCCAACTTCTTTTTTACAGATTTTCCTTTATAGTTTTATTCACAACCTCAACCAGACCATTGGCTTGCGGATGCTCAGGAGAAGAGAAGCTCTTTTGGATCCCCATTTGTCTACATATGCTCTTTAATTCTTCATTATCGAATTGTCGAGCATTATCAGTGATGATCGAATGAGGTATTCCAAATCTACAGATGATTGATTTCCAAATGAAGTTGGTTACATTTGCTTCGGTGATTCGCGGCAATTCTTGAGCCTCCACCCATTTGGTAAAGTAGTCAATTGCGACGATTGCATACTTGTATCTTCCATTGGCGAGTGGGAGTGGTCCAATGATGTCGATTCCCCACATAGCAAATGGCCATGGGCTTGAAATAGAGGTCAAAGGTTCTCCTGGTTGCCTTGGGATATGTGAAAAATGTTGACACTTATCGCAAACTTTAACTAACTCCATCGCATCTTTTAGCATGGTAGGCCAATAATACCCTTGGCGAAGTGCCTTATATGATAGTGATCTTCCGCCCGAGTGATTTCCGCAAATTCCTTCATGAATTTCCCTCATCACGTAATTGGCTTCATCTTTGTTTAAACACCTAAGGTAAGGCAAAGAATAACCTCATTTGTACAACTTTCCATTGATAATTAGAAATCGATTAGCAAGGTACCTAAGCCTCCTCGCCTCATTTTTCTCTGTGGGTAATTCTCCTGTTGACAAGTAGAGGAATATTGGAGTAATCCATGAACTTGCATCTTTGGGGCTTAATGCACAGACTTCAACATGCTTAGCTATACTTGATTGCTCTAGGACCTTAATTGGCACATTCCCAAGTTGATCCTCATCCATTCCTGATGCCATGCGAGCAAGACAATCTGCTTCCATATTTGCGGCTCGGGGTACTTGCTCTAACTCATGCCACTTAAATTTCTCAAGTTGATCTTTCACTTTTTGCAAATACAAAGCCATGTTCTCCCCTTTTGCTTGAAATTCTTCTCGGACTTGGTTCACTATCAACTGAGAATCGCTATATATCTTTAAATTTTCAATCTGCAATTCTTGAGCAAGCCTTAGTCCTGCAAGTAATGCCTCATACTCAGCTTCATTGTTGGAAACTTTGAAAGCAAACCGCAAGGCATAGCGAATCCTATCATTTTTTGGGCTTATCAAAATCAGCCCTGTCCCGCACCCATTAACATTCGATGCTCCATCCACATACAACTGCCACACCGGGCCAAATGGTTTTTTGAGAATTGAGGCTTGACTTGATTGTGGATCTTCTAGAACTTTACGTTGCGGAACCGAAATCGTGACTTCTTCATCTTCCACCACTACTGGATAGGAAAACTCTGCTACAAAATGTGCTAATGCTTGTCCTTTAATGGCCGTCCTCGGTTTGTATTTCACTTCAAACTCCCCCAACTCAATTGACCACTTTGCTAGTCGCCCAGACATATCTGGCTTTTGAAGGACTTGCCTCAAAGGATGACTCGTTAAGACTATTATCGGATGAGATTGAAAGTATGGTCGTAGCTTTCGTGAAGTCATGATCTGTAACACCCTGAAGAATTAATTGAGATTAATTAAGGTAATTGAGATTATTAGTGTGCCTAATCTGATTTAATTAATTGAGTTTAAAAAAAATTCCAAGGTATTTAAATTATTCACAGTAATTTATTTAATCCAGAAGTGTGTATGGGCGCATTTCTGGACTGTTATATTTTACACATGTCACTTTCTTCTATTTTTCTTTTCTTTTCTTTTTCTTTTTCCTTTCTTTTCCTTCCTTTTCTTTTTCTTTCCCGTGCGTTTCTCTCTC